TTTACTTGTGACCACTCAGTGTATAGAGGAGGGAATGAAATTGTTGTGTAATGTGCAAAAAGTGTTTGTGGAGTACAGCAGACTCGATCTGTTGTATTCCACCATATGATGGAATAATGTCCAGAAACTAAGGTGCACTAACCCAGAGCTATCTCTTTGAGAGTGCTAGCCAGGAATGTCGAGAGCCAGCACGGGCCCTGGGGCAAACATACTCGCGGGGCCCCCCTTTCTCTCTCTGTTTTTAACATTTTCAATAATATATTAAAAAGAATATCCTAAATTGGAAGAGCAACGAGCTCATAAACCAGACGAAATCATAGCAGCGGCCGTTTTTACCTAGCAGTATAAGCGTAAAAACGTTAATAAAGTAACAACAAATATCTATTAACTCTATAAAGTAACAAATACATATTAATTATTACTCAAATTATTATTTCAGTCGTTCTTAATGTATCAAGCGTCTACATGCAAAGAAAAGCCAAAAACTATGGTTTTTATCATTAAATGATGACATAGCCTAAAGAGGCTTTGCGTGCTTTACGGCATTACCAGGTTTCATTCGTCCGGGCCCCTGGGCAGTTGGCCACTTTGCCCCCCCCCCCCTTGTCGGCGGGCCTGGTGCTAGCTTTTGGCTCGTAGCCCTTAGATGTGTTGACTTACAGTTGTGAATAGACAGTTTATGCTGTAGTAGTTATTGGTAGGTGAAGAAGTGACTAAAGCTAGCACTAATATCACTTTAAACTACACCACGTACAACAGCAAATGCGTGATTGTGAGCATCTGAGGAAAAAGTGTCTTCTTATGAGTACGAGTCATGTTTTAGATAACGATGAAGTACAATCTGACTCTGTAAGGATCGCGATTGTTAAGCATTGTCCCAAGCCTGTGCCTAAAGACAAGTTCACAGCTTTTCTAAGTTTTGTGTTTTGTGGCCAACATTGTCTACTGTTACTAAAGCTGTTTCACATTTTAAATGGACTGAAGACTGTGGCCAAGCATTTCAGTCAACAAAGTGCTTTAGACTTCTATATTCAGTTACTTTAAACAAGATTGTACGTTCATCCTGGATAATTATCATTTGTAATAAAATCAAAATGTTTATCACAGGTGTAGAAAGGTGAACATAATGTAACTGTGCAAGCTATTTATAGATTGATTGTTCTTTAAATCTAACACTGCTAGACAAAGAAATAGCTGCTTGCAGTTATGGTATTTGTTAAACGCTATCGTACATAAATATACGATCGGGCCTTCGCAATTCGAGTGTGTCGTGTATCATGGAAATAGCTGATGAACTTCAGAAGGTTTGAATGCACATTGGTCACGATACTGCAGGAGTACAACTTTGTTATACAGTATTATCTGGGAAGCGGAAAGTAATGAATATAGTTGTCTTACAAGATGATGAGAATGTATTTGTTTCTCATACCCAGATCCTGGACAACATAAGGTTGTCCATACTGACAAATGATCATTTCACTAGAGACTGTACTCCATTAATGACCAGTTCAGGAGGAACAACTAAAGGAACCAGATCTAACTTGAGTGCTACTTGCTACTTACGTTTGTAAGTTGGCGAATGCAGAATGTCTGCATGGAGCCTCCGGCACTTGTAGTAGCAGATATAATTGCAATTTGGTGTGATGTATTTGTGATATGAACTACATGGAAATGGTGCTAATCCTGTGATTCGGCTAGTATTAATAATCAGAGCTCAAAATTTTTTTTTTAGAGAGCCAGCCGGGTCCCCAAACATGAATTTTTAGGGGCCCACAAGCAGTTTTACGGGCCAGTCCTGTAGTTCGCTGTAAAATATACTACATAGTGCAGGTTATCAGAAAAATCACTGAATTAAGTAGAGGATGTTGCGTAAATTGAAAGGAAATTAAAGATATCAACATATCTTTCATGAAAAAAACACACACAAGTCAAACCATTTTATTATTTTTTTCAGACTACTTAAATGGTTTTTATTTCATATATGATCTTTAATTTCTCCCTAAAGCATGGTACAACAACAATTTTTTGCTTCCCTTCAAAGTAGTGTCCTTTCCTAATCAAAATATATAATGAAAAGAGATCTTGTATACATCAGTGTTGGTGTTCACACAAGTCTTTAACCTTCTTGGAAATCTTGTATACATCAGTGTTGGTGTTCACACAAGTCTTTAACCTTCTTGGAAATCTTGTATACATCAGTGT